ATTTTGTCCTAACTCTGTTTTAGCCTTATATAGCGATCTTATAACTTTCACAATCATTCAATTTCATTTACACTTGAAGAATGAAGATTTCTTTTCTTTGTTTAGTGAAGCCGCTCATTTTGAGTACCGTCACAAGATCTTTAATTTAGTCTTTTTTCAATGTTTTTGTTCACTATAATATGGAAATTATTATGTCATCACACTAACTTTTTAACTTTTTATAATTATTACCACTTTACTAGTCTTTTTACACTCTCGAGATATTTAAAACTGCTTTCTTTAGCAGAGCTAGTACTGTACGTTGCGCAGTCGCGCCCCCATAAGGAAAAACAAATACTGGTAAATTATTCCACTCCTTTGCTGTACGCATGACGAACGATTTAACCAAACCGTTTGGTTCGAATGCGTGGTAAGTCAACAACGAAAAGGTGGAGACTGGTCAAACGTCTGTTTGTCCGATGGTTGAAGGGAGAGAGAGAAATTAAGTAATGCAATTCCTGCGCACACTCTGAAATGCATACTGTGGAAAACCGAAAGGCTGCCTACGTTGCGCCTGTATGTAATGTATTTAATTTTCAATAAGTATAAAAAGAGAATACCTGCGAAGAATCTTTTGTTCATCTTTCTTCAGTTCGAGGAATCATATTTTTTTAAACACTTGTTTACTAAAAGATGAAGTTTGATATATGAAAAGAAATAATCAACTATTTTGAAACAATTCAAAATCCACCTGGCTTATGATTGTCTTTATATAACGAATTGCTCAAATGAAATAAACCCTCTTCAAAAAGACAAAACAACAAAACGTAAATTTAATATGGAAATTAACCCTTTAATATTGAATCTAAAAAAAAATAGCAACCAAATAATAAATCATTGCAATACAAATCACGGCATAATAAGTATGAATAGCTTTTTATCTCTAAGGGAAATAAACATTTTTTATATATTATGCATAGGTATTTATATAAAGATTTAAAACTTTTGACGTGAAAGATACAAAAATTATATGTGTATAAGAATTTTGAGATGAGCTCCGTCACTTCTCACAATTCTCACAAGTCTCAGAAGAAGATTGAAATATAAAATCAAGTGATAATATTTGAAACAAAAATATGTTTTTCTTTTAACTTTTATTGTTATTGAAAGTAGTGTAAATATTAAGAAAACCACGTCACCTCTATGATAGGACTTTTTTGTGTTATTGAGACGTTTCACTTGAATAAATCATACCATATCACTAGTAGACCATACAAACTCTAGGCTTGAGTTTGATGGACCTCGCAAGAGATGCAAGGAGTCGATGAATGCAGATAGCTCAAGATTGTGCTACATGGTATTATTTTGGGGAGACCTATGTTCAGCAGTGTACTTCTGACATAACACAGCCTTGCAACCAAACGCGTAGCTGTGCATCTAGGAGCTGATTTTCGCGTGATTTTGAGCAATAAATTTTATTTTAACAGGAAAGAACTGTTTAAAAAACATATATTTTCTTATCTATCTATAATGCATTAAACCCAAGTCATGGTTGTTACACATTCAAACTAAGTAGAAAGTTGTTTCTTGTCATGCAAATGAGTGAGGGCTATGACGCGATGATACTTAACGCCGCGATGAAAGTGTACATGAATGTCAACGGTTTTTCCCTCTATGAAGAGAAACTTGTATTATAATTGTGCAGCAGCGAGGAAACGTTACAAAAATAACAACTTCAACTTGAAGAAATTGTGAGTATATTAAAAGAGAATTTTACGAAACAGCATTGTAAAAATAACGTATAATATAGTTTTTACTTGTCGTGTAGTGGCGGTGTTTTAAGATCATCAGTGGGTGTCGGAAAAGAATTCATATAAAAAATATTAAAAGCTGCAGTTGCCGATCGTAGCCGCTATGGCAAATGTTTGGCAGTGGACTTTTGTTAAGCTGTAATGTAGGAATGATTTTTTTTGTTTTTCTACGTATTATGCTTTATTTTTCTTCACTAACGTTCCACTGCTGAATATGGTTCTCTCCTATTTCAGGAAGGATTTGTCATAACATTCATTAGTATGCCGATTGGCGATCGCAGAAATCGCCCACCTTTGACACTGCATATTTGACCCTCCTTGCGTATATACGAGTATCAGATTCATAATTTAACAATGGACAAACACACATATATGTAGTATAGTTGTAGCACGAATGGTTCGGTTTGAGCGGGGAAGGACCACGCTCTCACAGTATACCAGCGTAATAGCAGCTTAACACTGCTGTGTTTCGTATGGTGAGTGTAGAGAACTGGATACTCTTTTTACTGAAAAAGAGGCATTCCATCTTAGTCCTCACAGGTGACAACGCATCTGTATTTTGATACGCAAACGTGGATAGATGTGGATGTCTATGGGCTACAGCAACCGCTTACCATCAGGTGGACTGTGTGCTCGTTTGCCACCCTTATCCTATAAAAAAAAGTATTGTGTAATATATTATTCTTTTACAAATATTAAATTTCTTAATAACTTTGGATCTTAGCATATTTATGAACCATCGTCTCGACGAAATGAATATATCATTTTGTGAAAATAATCTCAATCGTTCAAATCGCTTGGAAGTGACGAGACCACTAACAGACACATAAACCATTTCTTTACACTAAGCGTAAAATACCAAGACTTGCAACGGAAAGCAGCGTCAAAGTTGAGGGCCCATATGCAGCGGTGAACTTGTACGGTCTGATGAGGAAGAATAAAAAGAGAATTTTGATATAAAAGTATTTATTTATTGAATTGGATTGGACACCATAATTAATAAAATATAACACATCATTTATCTATTCTTCTTATTTATCATTTAGAAAGAAAGAAGATGTACGAGAGTGTGTCAATAAGTTGAGTAGAGTTTCAGCATTACTCGAAATGTACGCAGCGTCCGTTTATCTTTCTTTTTTGGTCTGAGCTCAAAACTTGGAATATTTTCAGTTTTAAGAAAAAATTGAATTTTTATTGAATAATATGTTAGACAGTCAGACCACGTACTTGAGTCATGAGGGACTCACTTGCTCAGAGAGTTCAGCAGTGGAGTTTCGATAAACTGGAATTAATGAATTAACGATGGACTTTCGTAATCTATTTATTGGTAGTTGTGGTCTAGCGACAAAACAGAAGGCAGACCGCGGTCGTGCCGCTGTTATTGTACTATCATAGCAGTGCCTTCTGTGCAAGTTCCATGACGCCAACCCAGTGTCGATTAAACAATAACAGTTATTATGCTCTGTGAAACCCATAATAAGTCTAAGGGTAATTGGGTGGAAATGTACCAGCTAAATTTAAGTAGATTTCACATTCTTATTCACATTCACATTAACATTCAACGTGATTGCTGACATCCAACATAATTTATTACCTTGTGTTTGGAAACTGATAAGAGAGGCTGTCGTCGATGTCGAAACCAAATGACGCTAGTTATTCGACACCATTTGGCTAGGTGTTTATTCACCGGATATCGTGTATGTTTAACATACTAAAACTCAGATGCTAATAGCCACTGGTGTTATACTGGTACACATGTAAATTTATATAAATTTAATACTATTACTAGAGAAGAATTGGGGGGCGGAGTAGAAGGAACGCTTAATACCTAGGAGTACAGGGACACTTCCTCAGTCGTTATAATACATGCAACTTATAGTCGAGTTAAAAATTTTCATTTTAAGACAATATTTTAAATGTCATCAAAAGTGAGGTAAAAAATAATATCTGAATTCAGATTTTTGTAGTCAAATAAGACGGGATTAGATTAAAACAAGTCATTTATTTTCGCGATGAGATTATGGCCTTCGCTTATTGAATTTAGCAAGACTTTGACAATTGGCTATGATCTAAAATATCGTCGACCTTTCGCTAGTCATTTTCATTTTCATATGTTCTATTATAAATACTAGCGCCATTTAGTAAAAAGTAACAATTATTATTATTTCATCACCATCAGTACAACACATCACAAGTCTACGTTGAAAATAGGCCTCCCCCAAGGAATGCCACAAGACACTTTGCTCAGCAAAGACTTTGCTCAGCAAAGACTCGACTTCAGACACAAGTTTGTTCCGGTACTCGGCGATGTTTTCCCGAGAAATATTGGCACGGCCGGTGTATAGAGCATCATCAGTGCTGTCATCCGCATAGCAATGAATGTTACCAGTTAGCAACATATCATTGATATGCAGAAGAGACAGTGTTGGTGATAGCACACAGCATTGTGGAACACCAGTGTTAATAGGCTTGTAGTCGGAACATGCACCGTCTACAACGACCTTGATGCTCCGACCTGCAAGAAAGCTGGTGATCCAATTGCACAATTTCTCGGGAAGCCTATAGAAAGGGAGCTTCGAAAGAAGCGCTTTGTACCAAACCCGATCGAAGGCCTTTGTAATGTCCAAACTATCGGTCAATGCCTCCCCCTTAGACTCTACTGCCTCCACCCATCTATGAATCAAGTAGACCAGACGATCACCAGCTGATCGACCCCGACGAAAACCGTATTGGCGGTCACTAATCAGCTGGTGATCCTCAAGGTAACGCATGAGCTGGCAGCTTACAACAAATTCAAGGGCCTATAGTTGGACGGGTCTGAGCGGTCGCCTTTTTTAGCGATCGGGTGGACAAAAGCTGTCTTCCATAATTTCGGGACTACGCCTAGGGAATAGGAGTACCGGAAAAGACGCATTAGAACCGGTGCCAACTCCGGAGCACACGTCCTCAGCACAATTGGGGGTATTCCGTCAGGCCCACTCGACTTGTGGATGTCCAGGGAGAGGAGTGCTCTGCGGATCGATCGCTGTGAGAACCGTACATCCGGCATGGAATATTCACACCGTGGAATGGTCGGCGGTGTATTCCCCCCGTCATCAAGAGTCGATTTGGACGCGAAAAAGGAAGCCTAAAAGGTCGGCTTTCTCTTTTGCGGCGTGGGCCAGTGAGTCGTCCTCGTAAAGTCGTTATGTCGTTAAAGTCGTCGTCGATTATACCCGCGAGAACAGTACCAAACGGACACGTTTACTCATGCTCCTCGTATAAATTCAATAACAGTGCAAAAAATAAAGTTTGTGAAGTGAAATTTAGACGTAAATATCGGTCAGAACCTACTGGACCAAAGAATTGTATTAGTGTTATCTTTTATCGTGGAATAATTGGTGTATTTTGGCAATATTTATTGCAAACATTGTGTTTACGTAGTGTGCGGTGTTAGAGCTATTCTTGACAAACAAAGGAAAGGTCAAAGTACGATAGTTATAACTAAGAATACTCGAAACACTTCCAAAAATTTATGCTTCCTGCTAGCGGCTTAGTAGCGCAGTGGTATAAGCGACCACTTTCTGTTTAAACGTGAAGCGCATTCAAGAATCGGAAGATCGAATCCAGACAAACACCCAACACTTTTTGTGAATAATTTCTGACAAGTTTATTATTTCAAATATGAACTCACCTTGCAGCGGTTGTAAAAAAGCAATCAAACCTTCAGAAAGAATTACTTGCACTCAATCTTCGTGCGGCAAAAGATATCATTACCTGTGTGTTAATTTGAATGTTGATAACTTCAAAAAGCAAAAAAATTGGAAATGTCCTGACTGCTCCATTAAACACTTGTCAATAATACGTAAGGAAGGAAATAGTGATGATACTCCTATTAAATTGGCGACCAGCAGCGAATTTTTAGACGACTCTCAAAATATTACTATAAGGCGTCAAAAAGAGAGCGAACCCACTACTGAACACCAAGACTGTGTATCTCGTGCTGAACTAGCAGAAATTATTCGTAGGGAATTGCGTTCAGTGATTCGAGATACATTAAATGAGGAGTTCGCTAATATCAAAAAAGAAATTCATGGATTTGAAGAAACGATTAAATTTATTAATTCACAATATGACGCTATAAGTACCAAAGTTAAAGTCCTATCTGATGATACCAAGATCTTTTCTACAACTAATGTAATGTTAACTGGCAAGGTCAGGGATTTAGAGGAAAGGATATCACAAATGGAACAGTCTGCCCGTCAGTCAAATGTCGAAATCCACTGCTTACCTGAGCACAGACAAGAAAACCTGGTTAACACAATTGTTAATATCGGAAAAGTTATTTCATTTCCCATTTTGGAAACTGATATTTTATCCTGCAACCGAGTGCAAAAGCTTAATGCCTCATCCAAGCTGCCAAGGACTGTTGTATGTAAATTAACAAGTAAAATAAAGCGAGACAACTTCTTAGGCGCTGTACTTACATATAATAAAATGAACCCAAAAAATAAATTAAACACGAAAATCCTGGGTTATGGAGACATTGAATCACCAGTATTCATTAACGAACATCTGACTCCATCCAACAAGGCGTTACACGCAGCTACCAGATTGAGAGCAAAAGAGAAAGAATACAAATTTGTTTGGGTGCGTAATGGGAAAATTTTTGTGCGCAAAAATGAGACATCACCAGCACGGGTAATAACAAGATTGGAAGCACTGGAAAATCTCAGTTAATTTTTATTTATTTTTCTAAATTTATTATCTAATGCTGTATTAAATTTAAATTTAAATCATTCACACACTCTGATTTAAACATTTACTATCAGAATGTTAGAGGTGTTAGGACTAAGCTGCAAAGTATATATAAAAATGTACTGTCAAGAAATTTTCATATAATAATTTTCACTGAAACATGGCTCAACGATTCTGTGGCTAGCACGGAACTATTTGACAGTAGGTATCAGGTATTCAGGAGAGATCGACAGGCCAATACCTTCTATACTGGAAAGGAAGGTGGTGGCGTTTTAATAGCAGTAAAGAGAAATATAAAGGCTAGAAGGAATACATTCTTAGAAAGTTCTTGTGAAGATTTATGGGTTACTTTAGACATAACGCCAAATTACTCTCTTCATATCTGTGCTGTTTATTTACCCCCACCAGTCTCAAGTGATGATCTAAACCACTTCATCAGCACTAAAAGTATATTTGTACAAAAACTTGATCATATCCTTCTAGTGGGTGATTTTAATTTGGGTCATATTGATTGGACCTCAGATCATAGCAATCCAATAATTAAATCTAACACAAAAATAAATCAGATATTTATAGATTTTACTTCATGTAACGGTTTTAAACAGTATAATCGGGTACAAAATAATGACTCTAAAATACTTGATTTGGTTTTATCTAACGTTCAATATCCTATCTCGGTCAGTAAAGCTGTAGATACTTTATCGAAGATTGATAACTTTCACCCGCCGTTAGAAATTGACATATATTATAAAAAAATAGATAAACTTCGATACAATAATTTCAATGTGTATACGTTTTATAAAGCAGATTATGAAGGTATAAATAGGTCTCTATATGAATGCTTAGAAAAATTCTATACCATAATTCGAAAAAATATCGAGAAATATGTACCCCTAAAACCATCTGTTAAAAATAAATATCCTGTATGGTACTCACAGAGACTTATAAAACTTTTAAAGGAAAAGGAAATTAGCCGCAAAAAAATGAAAAAATATCAAAACAATCGTGACGTATATGAATATGAGTTGTTAAAAAAAAGAGCAAACACGCTAATTAATAAAAGTTACAGCAAATACATAAATAATGTGCAAAGAAATATTTTAAATAATCCGAAACATTTTTGGTCTTACATAAAGAATAAACGTAATAATAATGACTCAATCCCTAAGGAAATGGAACTGGGGAACAAAGGTGCTAATGACGGTAGTGGTATTGCTAACTTATTTGCTGAGCACTTTGAATCTGTTTATAACAAACCCTCCAAAGTCCAAGATAAGGCTTACTCGAGAGTTAACGACAGTGTGACAAATTCTAAAAAGCAGAAGGTTATTATCAATGGTTAAAGTTCTTCAGGGTCACCTGTACTAATGGGTGTCCCTCAGGGCTCGACTCTCGGCCCATTTCTGTTCCTGGTATATACTAATGACTTACCTCACCTTGTAGGGGATAGTCATGATATAGTATTATTTGCTGATGATACTTCCTTGATTTTTAAACTTAAACGTCAATCATTTAAATGTGACTAAGTAAATAATGATATATCAAAATTAGTGCATTGGTTTAACGTTAATAATCTGCATTTGAACGGAAATAAAACTAATTGTATTAAATTTACAACAACGAATGTTAAAAATCTGAATACCAATGTGTTTTTAAATGGGGAGGAATTGAGCCCTGTTGTATCCACTGTATTTCTTGGCATCACTCTCGACACAAAGCTTCAGTGGGGGCCCCCATATATCCAAACTAGCAAGCAGACTACGTTCTACAGCCTATGCTGTAATAAAGATTAGAGGTCTCACTAGTGTCGAGACAGCTAGATTAGTTTATTTATTTTATTTCCATAGCATAATGTCTTATGGGATTTTGCTATGGGCAAATGCGGCTGATTCAGAAACTATTTTTGTTTTACAGAAGAGGGCCATTAGAGCTATTTACAACCTAAAGCCGAGAGAGTCTCTTATAGATAAATTCAAAGAAATAAATATATTAACTGTGGCCTCTCAGTATATTTACGAATTTAATGTATGTTCACAAAAACAAAGATAGTTTTAGTAAAAAAAGTGATATCTATTCTGTAAACACTAGGAACAAACACAAGCTAGTGATGCCAGTTTTTCGACTCCACAGAGTCAGTAATTCATCTTGGGGTATACGTTATTACAATAAGGTCCCGGAAAGTGTACAGTTTCTCTCTATTACCAAGTTTTAATGTTTTATTAAGCTGAACCTGTATAAAAAGTGTTATTATAGTAAAAATGAATACATGGTTGATAATAACTCCTGGGAATGAGGTTGTCGCTTCCAAGCAGTTTCTAAAATAAATTTTGTAAATAGTTCGTAATCATTATATTGTAAAATTTATTTAAAAAAAAGTCCCGCTGGTTTTCTTGCTGGTTCTTTCCAGGACAGAGGGTTTTTTTCGAACCAGTGGTAAAGTAAAAAATGACTTTCAATAAGAATTACACATGTAATTTATACTGAATAAAATTTATTCTATTCTATTCTATTCTAGTAAATTATTATCATGTAAAGAACGTAAAGATATTGTGAGTCTCTCTGCTAAATGAAATTTAGAAGTGGCAAGCGTTGAATTTGAGCATCTCATTGCAGTGACCGTCTACAGACCCCTATGCTCTTTATATTATACTTTTGAAAAAATTATGGAACAAGTTTTTGTTAAGCTTAATTAACAGAATAAATCTGTTGTGATATGTAGAGACATTAATGTCAATCTCCTAGAAGCTTCCCCCACCAATATTAAATTAAGATCATTGTTTAAATCATAATTATGATCTTTTTAATTTACTTTTAGAGCCAACGTGTATTACTAAATGTAGAGGAACATGTATAGATAACATTTTTACAAATGTTAAGCCGTTGCATAATTGTATAATTCAAAACTTGAGTTATGATCACTGTGGACAGATAGTTTCGTTACCTTATGTTCACAAAAAGCAAGTAGATGAGAAAGTTGTGTTTGTTCCAGTAAATGCACGTCGTTTGGAGAAATTTAGAAGTAACATAGTGAAGAAACTTCCATCACATTTACATACATACATACATAAACACTCACGTCTGTCACCCAGAGGGGTAGGCAGAGACTACGGACTTCCATTTGTCGCGATCCTGACATACCTCTCTCGCCTCTTTTACATCCATATATCTACGCATACACGCTCGTCGGTTAAGGGTACTCCTAATCTGGCCCATTTTTAATGTATCGGCGATTTGGTCGATAAACCTTCATCTAGAGCGTCCCTTCCCGACCCTGCCGTTCACTTCTTTAACATAAATTTGCTTTGTCACTCTTTCCTCGTTCATTCTTTCTACATGACCAAACCACCGAAGCATTCCTTTCTTAATCCTTGTCACAACGTCATCTTGCAAACCACACTTTTCTCTTATCACACTATTTCTTACCCTGTCATTCAGATTCAGCCCTAGCATACTCCTTAAGGAACGCATTTCTACAGCATTTATTCTACTCTCATGCTTCTTCTGCCAGACGTAACTGTCACTACCATACATTAAAGTAGGGACTAACACAGCATTATGAATTGCCATACGTGCCTTAGTTGACACATTATGACTCCTCATAATAGCGTGTTCCGCGTCCCATTCACTCCATTTACTGAGTTCAATCGTCGTTCTATATCCTTATCATATCTATCATCCCTGCTAAATAAACATCCCAAATATACAAACTCATCCACTTGCTCAATCAACTCCCTTCTATTCTTATTGAACATAAAGTTTGACTTTCTTCTCTTTCAAAAACCATCACTTTCGTCTTACTTGCGTTCACTTTCATACCCCTTTCTTTCAATGACCAATTCATTAAAGTAACCATCATTTGCAACTCGGCCGCTGACGATGCAAATATGACTTGATCATCGGCGTACAAAAAGCATTTGACGGTTGACTCACCCATTCTCAACCCACATTCTTCAACTTTCAAAGTTTGCAAACAACTGTCCATAAATAGGTTAAACAGCCACGGGGAAGCCACACATCCCTGTCTGACACCTTTATGAATGCCAAACCAGTTCGAGTAGACCCCGTTGATCCTGACACAAGCACTAGATTCCCCATAAAGAGACCTTAATGCCTGTATCAAGCCAGCGCTCAACCCAAATGAGTTCAGTGTTTGCCATAACACATTCCTGTCCACTCTGTCATAAGCCTTTTCCAAGTCCATGAACGCACAAAATAACTTTCTGGTTTTTGGCCAAAAACTTCTCCGCTATCATGCGCATGGAAAATACTTGATCCGTACACCCCATCTCCTTTCTAAATCCAGCTTGCACATCCCAAATTTTTCCATCAGTTTCTTCCATAACTCTTTCAATTAACACCTTAGCATAAAGTTTACCCACAATGCTAAGCAAGCTGATACCACGGTAGTTTTTACAGTCCTGCTGCGACCCCTTTCCCTTATATATTAGGACTCTAACGGCTTTGCACCAGTCTTCCGGTACCCGCTTCAGTTCCCAACATAAATTAAACAAGGTGTGCAGCGGACCTGCAACCACACCCTCACCAGCCCTTAGCATTTCGATTCATACTCTATCATATCCGGCTGCCTTACCTGCTTTCATGCTTTTCATTGCTTTCATTATTTTATCTACACTTATCTCCCTACCTCTCTCCACTTCTTCCGGAATTTCTATTTCACTTATTTCAGACAACTCTTCACATTTCCATCACATTATACCAAAATAATCCTTATTTTTTGTAAGGAACATTGTTTAAGCTTATTTTCAATGAATTGGATAATATTTTTACTTCTAAAATATTTTCCTTGAACAGTCTGAAGGCATTTAATGAATGGGCGACAGTAGGAGTCCATAAGAGCAGACAAAGGTTATATGAACTTTACCATGAAAGGTCATATAATCCCAGCGTCGAATTTAGGGAATATGAAGAAAAAAATCAAAAATATTTAAAGGAGTGTACTCCACAGCCAAGTTTTTGTATTTGAGCTACAAAATTAAGACTGCTTCTAATAAAATTAAAATGACGTGGATTAAAATTAATAGTGAAACTGGTAAGGTCAACTCTCAACGCAATTCAAACTACCGGTTAAGTTTTAACAACAAATTATCTGAATCAAATCAGGATGGTGCAATGGTTTTTGAGAAATATTTTACTGATATTCCGATCTTTACCACAAAGTCACTGAATTCTTCTCCTGCCGTCGTCGAATCATTACTTAAAGAAAATGTAAATGCGTGTACAAAGAATTTTACATTTCATAAAATATCATCAAAAGATATTGTAAAATATTTTAAAACTATTGATGTAAAGAAAACTGCGGATCTGTGGGGGGTTCCGTTAAAGTTATTGCGTCTATAATAGATACAATCGCGCGTCATTTAGCTATTATTTTCAATACTAGTGTCGGATCTGGTGTGTTTCCTGATTTAATGAAGCATAGTAAAGTAATACCTTTATTTAAATCTGGTAGTACATGAGACCCCGCCAATTTTAGACAAATTTTTGTACTGCAAACAGTTAGTAAAATTTTTGAAAAATTATTCTAGATCAAATGTTAAAAAAATTTAATGTAAATAGATTACTTCATAAACATCAATTAAATTTCACAAGGGGTCGCTCAACAACTAATGCTGGTGTTGACCTGATTAAATATATTTACAATGCATAGGAGAATTCACAGGATATTTTGCGTATATTCTGTGACCTATCCAAAGCCTTCGATTGTGTTCACCATGAAACATTAATTAGAAAACTACAACACTCCGGTGTAAGAAGTTGTGCTATTAAATTAATTGTTTTATATTTAAATAATAGAACGCTAAAAGTTTTCATCGAATGCAGTTGTGTATCAAAATACAGTCCTGACGAACCTTGTGGAACCTGTTTCTCATACCATGTTCAATAACAGGCACTGGGTATTCCAACAAGATTCGGCGCCAGCTCATAGAACGAAGAGCACACAAGACTGGCTGGCGGCGCGTGAAATCGACTTCATCCGGCACGAAGGCTGGCCCTCTTCCAGTCCAGATAAAAATCCGTTAGATTACAAGATATGGCAACACTTGGAGGA